CAGGACATAGAAATACTAAGACAACAAAAATAAATAACAAAGAAGAGGAAGGCACACATTAAAAGGAGAAGTTGCTTGAAGTGGTTGAATGCAGTGCAAGACTTGGGACTTTGTGGGTGGGGGTTACCATAAATACCTCATTTAGACAAGCTTCTCTTTAATGTAAATTCTTAATAAAGTTGATGTAAAAGATCCAACTTTAACTCTAAATAGACTCTCTAAAGTATGCATTCAAAAAGGAAAATAATTACAAACCTAATTTGTGATGTGGAAATGATTTCTAGTGAACGGATACTAAAAGAATTTAGATGGTGTGCATATGATACAGATTTTAAACCAAATGAAAGTGATAAAAGATTTCAGTCTTGGATAGAGAGTGGGCTAACAACATTCCATTCCTCCACACATAAAGGGACACTACAGAGTTTTCAGTCTTTACAAATAAGAAATGTCCTAAGACAAGTAGATTTCTTCAGGTTTCTTCAAATGCGGGATTATTTTAACAAACATTACAATATCCCAAACCCAAACTCGGTTGAGTCAGGAATTTTTAAGATAGTTAAATTAACAGATGTTGTTTCTCTGAGAAAGGCAATCTCCAAACTATATAATGTGCTTCTTCGGGCAAGGAAGGATACTACTCAAAACATTAAGACCAAATGGGAATTGGAATCAGGGATGGGTATAACAAACGAGAACTGTGAGAGGATTTGTAATTTTCATTGGTACTCAACAAGTTCACTATCTTGTAGAGACCAATGAAAATGAAAGCAAAGTGCTGGAGAAGATGTGGATCAGAAAAGGCACATCAAGGCAATTCATTAAACTCTGTGCGAGGTCTTTAAGATAAAACTTGTCATTTTGTAAATTTGCACATGGGTCTGGGGATGGGACACAAAGCTCTTACAAGCACTATGAGTGGCCAGCAAAAAATCAATAACCAAAAATTGGCTAAATCCAACTCCGCCAACACTTGAGGATTGGTTTAATGTGGTTTTTGAAATATTTAACATGGAAAATTTGACATTCTCCTTAAAAATTCAAAAAGATAAATTCTACAAAATATGGAATAAAAGGATTAGCTTTGTGTCCCCCATCCACCCTGAATTTAGGTAACATCAGCCCTGAATTGGTGTATCTCCCATTTATTGTATAATGCCAGGTCGACCCTCTACTTCATAATATGTATTAAATGTACTTTAAGTAAATAAGTTAAATATGTTGCATTATGTATACACTGTCAAGCCACCGAGTTCACTTTTTGTTATGTGAATGTAAAACAAAAGGACTAAGAAAAAGTCTTTTTTTTTTTCCTTTTGACCAAATAATATTAATGCACTTTACTGTAACAATCCCTTTTAAAAATATATATAATTTTAAAAAAAGAGAAGGAAATGATTTCTAAGCAATATCTAAACTTGATTTGGTTTTTTCTCTTGCAAGTTTTTTAGGGGTGTGGCTTCAGATTTGGCCTTGACTGTCATCTCTTTTTTTACACCAAATCATACAAGTCATACATGTAGCCTGGTGTCCCTTCTACCTTTGCAGCAATCTCATCTTCCAAAAAAGTATTTTTTTATTTGCTCCACTGCTTTTTCTGATCAGCCTTAATTTATGCTGACATGTATAAGAGAGTATGTGTTAAAGAGTGTCTCTTTGCCAAACTCCTTTTACTGTTACCTTGAATAGAAGAAGGTACGGGTGGTCCAAGCCTATTGTAACGGTCCAACTGAAAGCACACCCCGTTGTACATGGTGATGCTTTTGCAGTCCTTTGCAATGGTTGGTCCACACACCTGAGAGGAGACAAAGCCAAGATGTGATTAAACAATGGTTTATTGTTTGAGATCAATCAATTTGACAAAAAACAAATTCTTATATGGCTGTTCAGAAATGAAGATTTAAAAAAAAACAAAAAACTTTAGTCTTTTAAAGAAGTCGTGCAAATTTTTTACCTTGATATGATTAATAATTTCTATGTTAAGGGACAAATTTGAGCATTTTAAAACATGATTTTAATTTTTTCATTTTTACAGCACTTTAGAGCCTTCACAACTTATTAAGTACATTATGAATTGACCTTCATGCATTTTGAGATTATAACAAAACATCTGACACACAGAGGACAGAAGATTTTGATCCTTAGAGAATTTAACAAAGCACTGGCAATGTCTGCAGTTCAGTAACTCACCACAGTGTTTTGTGCTCTTTGATCGCTTTTCATTGTCAAACCAAGCGACATGTTGACTGCGAAACCTGGTGCTGTAGTGAAAACATTACATTTTTATTGTTTTTTTTTTAAACAAAACATAAAATGCACTGTAAAAGTAAGAGCACAAGGGTGAAGGTAACAAATTGAAAGAAAAACAAAATAAAATTTCACTATTATGTAATTTTAATATGTTGAAAACAATAGAAAAGAAAGACCTTAATGGTTTTTTTTCTTTGCTTATTTAATTTTATTAACTGGTAAATCAATATTGTTTTTGAAGAGTGAAAGGTACCTACTAAGATACCTAGATATATGTACTCTATGAACCGGTTTAACAAGTTCCTGTGCCTGGATTTGTGCAAAATTTCTTTGACAGCAAAATATTTACTGTTACCAGTTACCTACCTTCAAATTGGATATCTTGGCAGGTTTGGGAAGATGTGGTGCACCTATATATTCTCCCTCTTTCATTTTGTGAATACTGTTCAAGTGGAGCACTGACCAGCAGACTGAGGAAATAAATTCAGTCAATGATGTAAGTTAAACTACAAAACTACAAGTGTTTTATATATTTATTTTTTGCTCTGGTGCATAACAGAGATGGTAGTTCAAAATCAATACATAAATAGCAATAATCTTAAACACATAGATGGAAACCAATGTTCACTTACTCTGATTGTCTTTGAACCACCCGGTAACCAAAACCAGCAGCAGAGCTCCTCAGGGCTCTCCAAGCCACGGGCTCAATATTGAAACAAAGTGTGGCACTAAACACTGAAAATTTAAGAAGAAAGAAGAATATCAGAAGTTTTATTTAAAGCCTTCATAAGAATGAAAATGTGGTCATAGCGCCTCTAATTACAAATCACATTGAGAAAAGTAGGCTGTGGTTTTTTTTTAACCTTTCATTAGCACTAGTGACTAAAAAGCTCAGAATATTGTGCTCAAAGCAGTTACTTGCTTGGAAGTTATTAGATTTCATTGTGGAAGCTTAAATGTTTTTTGATTTGATTACCATACAGTGAAAATTTCATACCACAACATCCATACGTAACAAAGTCAAAGGGCTATGCTGTAGTTATGCAAGTCCCAACAAGAATCTCAGCAGCACTGAGCGTGTGCAGCTGAGCTAAATTGCTAATTGCAAACGTCCCACTAATTTTCTCTGCCAGTTTACACCTAGAAAGTATAGCTATATTTTAATCAACTTCAGCACTCTGGAAGACTGCAAATTACATGATTTATGAGTGTTTCAGTGCATTGTTATTAGGAACCCAAACGCACTGACTTGCTCAAGCAGCAAACCGGCATCATCCATGAAGAGAATTCACTCTGAAGATTCCCTGCAGCCGGCCTCTCCACAGACCGGTGACATGGTGGGCATTTAGAAGTCAATAAGCACAAAACTCTGCAGCTGTGACTTACACCTGGCCCTTTTGGCAATCCTTCAAAAAGACTTTCAAGTGCTGCATGAGTCAGTGGAATTCAGACAGCAGCTGCTGGCTGCAAACACTTGCTGCTGTAAACACCATCCTCAGAGAGTCGGTGAAATCCATCGAGAAGGAATGACCCGAGAAAACTGAAAGATCAAAGACACTATTATTGAGCTCCAGGCTCACAGCATGATGGATAGCTTGGTGTTTTCAGGAATACCAGAGATGGCAGAAGAGGATCCAGAAACAACAGTGAGTCATGATATCCAGACTTATCTGAAACTCTGGGTGGATGTAGTTAAAAACATCAGGATACACCGTGCTCATTGTTTTGAAGGTAAATGAGCAGATGGATGTAGATCCCGATCTTTTGTGGACAAATTCAAACGCTGGTGCAAGACTGCAGCCGGGAGCTGAGAGGAACAGACTTGAATGTTTGCAGTTTCCAAAGGAAATGCTGGAGTGATGCAAGTTCCTGTTCTCTGTCCAAAAAAGGCTCATTCAAGGAGGCTCCCAGGCTGTCATCGTGGTCAATAAGCTGTATGTCAAAGGGCAGCTTTCTCATAACTAAAACACCACACAATGGCTGTACTGATCCTAGTTAGTACTAGGATAGGTTATACATGACCACAGTGAGATTTGTCGCATGGCATGTACGGGAAGTTGGTTTGAAGTAAAAGAGGCTTAAACTTTCTAACCCATTAAATGGCAAACATTGTCTTTCTACATTGTGGACTCATTGGTCCGAAACATCTGTGCACACACTTATCCACATTTTCCTCACACATTTTCATTTTGTTACAACTCAAAAACAGAGGTCTAGCCATACTAATAAGCAGAAGAATAAACTTACTGTTAGCAACTGTTATTACAGATCCAGAAGGTAGATTTGTAAAACTTAGATCCACTTAGATCCAGGCTCAGTATTTATGTATTGCCAGTATCTAGGAATCAAATGTTTCTAGCAATTAAAGGCTCAGTACAGCAGTGAGTCAAAGGAATGGGCAGTCCACAGACATTCTTAAACAATACATGAGTGATTTTGGTCTTTGCAATGCTTGGCATTAACATCACCCCACTGTCAGGGATTAGACCTTCTTATAACCAGTACACTACTCCAGTACTCACACTCTTGCTTGGACTAGTTTTTAGTTAGCAGCTTCATTATATCACCATCAGATTATGCACCAGTGCCAGTCTCTCTGATACAGCCACAAATCCTGATGGGTTTCCAGCTGAGGGTTACAAAGAACTTTGGCCTATGATAGCACCTACTTTTTTTTTTGGTAAAGGGTAACTCAAATTCATACCGCCCAATTCCAGTCATAAATGTTGACCTTAAAATACTCTGCAAAGTCCTTGTCAGAAGATTAGAATAAAATCACTTGATTCATAATACATCCTGATCAAACAGGGTAAACACTCCACCACTAAAAAACACACATACTAATAAATATAATATAAATATAATAGATTATTGCTCCATCAATAAATTAGAAACCGCAGGTGTCTTTTTAGCTACAAAGAAAGTCTTTGACCGGGTAAACTCGAAATTTTTTTTAGCCGCTCTATACAAATTTGGATTTTTGGTACATTCTTCATCGATTGGCTCTATACAGCTCTCCGAATGCATGTGTTAGGACTAAGTACTTCCCAAAACAGATCACGAGCTCGCATCTGGTTCACTGCTTGTGTTGTTAATGGGTGGATATGTGTGAGCGAGTAAGTGAATGCCTTGGGTGTGTGTGCAAGTGTGTGTGTGTGTGGGTGTGTGCCTACATGGCTGGATCTGTGTCTGGGGCTCGCTGAGCTTTGCCACTGAGGGACATGGTCATGGAAAATGGATATATACACAAGAAGTGATAAGTAGATTGAATTTTATGTCCAGTTCTACAGTTGGTTTTGGGTTGTAAGTAAGAATTTACTTTTGTTATGTTTGACTATTCAGGAAATAAACTCATAAACATTTTAGTAATTAAACTATTTATACAGTCAGAAGTTAACTGAGTTGATTGCAGAGATAGAGGAGAAAAATGCAAATAAGGAAACAGCCATTACAAAAGTATTTATAAATGATTTGCTTTCCCTTGCTAATCTGTAGTGTCTACTTGTTTTTAATTCCACAAAAAATATATTTTTTAAAGACACTTTGTCACTGTGCTGTGTGTATTTAGTAGAAAAACTTACTTACATATTTTTACTGTTTGCAGACATTTATTATTAATGAATAAAAGACAAATACAGAATGTGCACGCTTGTCTTACCTGACAAGACTAGCGGGGCACTAATTATCCAGTCCATTCTGTCACTCACATGGAAAACGTAAACAACACAGGAGTTCAGTATTACTTCTCTTGAAAGTTTCAGAGGAGGAGATGAAATCAAAATGCAGAAATCATAAGAGAGTTCCTCAAAGGTAAGAGTTTTATTTAGAGGAACGGTTGGTTATGTAGGAGGAGCTACAATAGTGACAGCACTGTCTGTTTGATGCCAAACTACACTGTGATGTTGTTCTTTAATGTGAATTAAACACTTATTTTTAAGTAAACAATACTGACACTTACAGTAAACACATTGGATAGTTTATTAGTTTCTGAGCCACAAGATAAAATCCCTGTGATTATGAATATGAAGATAAGAAATAGTAAAACAAAAACCTTCAATTTAAGGTTCTATCAGTTTGTTATTTGCTGGTGTGAAAATATTTTTTTGGGTAAAAAGTTGGTCTTAATCAAATCTAAAAGCAAAAAGAAATCTAAAAATACAAATTCAGTTTCTGCTTTTCATGTGACTTCCTCTGAACATCTATGAGTGAGAAAATTTGGTATCGTGGCAGTTTTGCAAGCGACGAAGAGGCCTGGATTTATTATGTTCCTACTTCCACATATGTTCCACATATGTTCCACATATGTGTGGTTGACTGTTCATACCCTGACAACCCTAATCTTGAACAGTGTAGATCTTTTGTGAGCACATTATCCTGATATGCACATAAAGTGAATACATTTTTAGTATTTCGCATCACTTTGAACATCTAATAATTGTTCATTTTAGAGCCTCGCCTCACTGGTAGATAACTAACCAGCTGATTCTTGCTGTATGCGGAAGTCTAGAAGAAGTCACTCTCCCCTAACCCATACCACACCAGTGCTAAAGTATATTTTTGACACCACAAACTTACACGTGATGCTCTGAGCATATCCAAGGTGCAACATTTCACATGTTTTCAAATGTGTGTTTTGTTTCATAAGCTATTTGGATGAGAGAAACTAAAAGCAATGTGATGTGTAGTAAAATCTGACGATATGAATGTGTAACCTGATCCTGAAAAACACAGACTGATTAACCCTCTTAGGCTAAAATTAAACTTTTTGTTGCTAATGCACAACCAAGTCCTGCAGTGGTACTTCTGAGTAAAAAAAACTCATAAAATATGTATGTGGGGTAATCAGGTTGTTAGTTTTTAACTGTTGCAAGTCGGCAGATGGTAGATGGTCTGTAGTGACTTCAGTGGAGAGTGTGTACTTCAAAGAGATGCTTAATCCTACTGACACACCTTACATAGAGGAAGTAGAGCCTGGTGTTTAACTGGATAATGTCGATGAGGGAAATAACTTTCTTGTGTTATGGTGGGGTGAATGAGGTATGATTTTCCTCCTGGTAATGGAACACTGCACCAGCTCAAGTTTTGCAATATCTAACTAAATCATCAATGATTATAGCACACTAAGAGATAAGAAGCAAAAAATGAAAACATGATTTATGCATGATATAGACCACTACACTTGGGGTAAAAGCGTCAGAAAGTTGTGGTTGTGGTTATTTAATATCTAGCTAAAGCAAAAGAAGTCGAGTGAGAATGAAGGACAATCGTTAACGAACTTTTAAATACACTTTTTTTAAGCAATTGTAATGGGAAGAAGCCCTGGTTTTTCCCTCTATGCAAGCATCTATGCAGACATGTGTGATCACACAACTGAGGCTGAACTATATTTTCATAGTATATATAAATTTTTTTATTTGTTTTATTTATTTAATTGAGACACAGCTTGCAGCTTTAATTGAAATGGCTGTCAATTTTTCCTTCTTATCAGATATTTATAATAGACTTGTAGTCAAGACCACCTAAACCAAGACCAAGACAATACCAAGACCAGAGGGTATCGAGACCAAGACAAGACCAAGACAGACCGAGTCAAGACGAAGACAAAGATGAGACCAAGACCGAGACAAAAAAGTCTTTAAACTGCAGCCAGATGCTGCTTTGTTTACGGGTGTTGACTCCAGATCTCCCGACCACTATGTCGATCTGAGACAGCAAGACCGAGACAGCGAGACCAAGACAAGACCACGTAAAAGTGGTCTCAAGACATCCAACTCTAGTTTATAATTAGTGAATAAAACCTGTTGTACACGACAAGAACAGTGTAGCACTAAATATGCAGTCCACAATGTGCACATCCTGGATAAGCTCTTGGACCAAGATTGCACCTGTGCTTGGCTCTATATTGTCTTTTAAGCCTCACTTTGGGATGAACCATCTTTAGCGAACACTACCACCGTATCTTCCACTTCATCACCCCTATGATTCCGGCGTAGATTACAGCCTCTCTAAACCAGAGAGGGAGGCTATAGAGAAGTATATCATGGATTCCTTAGCTGCTGGTATAATCAGTCTCTCCACTTCTACACTCCGGGGTCGGATATTTCTTTGTGGAGAAAAAGGACAAGTCTCTCCATCACTGTATTATTTGATTACCGAGGCCTGAATAAGACAAACAAGTACCCCTACTTCCTCTGTTGCCATGCACATTCAATCTTTTTTAAACTGGATTTGAGTAATGCATACCATCTTGTCAGGATCAGGAAAGGAGACGAGTGGAAGATGTCCTGGTAAGAATCGCACTATTTCATTCATGCAGCACTCGTTTTGGTGACCAGCCTTGGCCAGAGATGTCCAGGAATTTGTCTCTGTTTGCCCCACCTGGGCAAAGAATAAGACTTCAAGCTCACCTCCCACCAAACTCCTAAGACCAGTTCCCACTCCTGGTAGACCGTGGTCCCATATTGCTTTACTTCCTACCATTTTCACCATTGTTGACTGTTTCTTCAAGACTGCCCAGTTTGTCCCTCTCCCAAAATCCCCCACAGCCCTTGAAACAGCACAGTTAGTTACCAAACATGGCTTCACGACATCCCCAAGGACACTGTATTGGACCAAGGTCCTCAGGTCACTTCCCAAGTTTGGAAATGTCTGTCCATTTAAACCTGCCTCAAAACTTAAAAATTCATAACTCTTTACACGTCTCTCATTTGAAACCTTTTATTTTTGAAGTCCTGGGTTTGGGTTCTGCTTTTATGACAGACCTGACACATGTCCTAAATGCAAACAAAATTAGCACCATGATCATAGCTCTTCCTGATTTATATTCTAAAATTAGGCTCATAAATGGTTCAAATGCTAAACTCTTATACTCATGTAGCATCTGTAGTTCCTGTTTTTTAATTTAAGGAACATTTCTAAATTGCGACATATTGTCTCTTTAGGAGAAATGGAGAAAATTATTCTTTTTTTTTTGTGTCATTATTAGATTAATCTAATACCTTGTTTAATGCCTTAGATTATTAAACCAAAAAAAATCTAGATTATCATACAAAATGCTACGGCCAGAATATTAACATGATCCAGCAAGCGAGCTCACAAGGGTCCCATTCTATATTCTTTACCTTGGTTTCCAGTACATTTAAAACTTTGTTTTAAATTGTTGTTCTCACAAACAGAGCACTAAACACCCAGGCTCCAGACTATTTATCCCAGCTTTTTACCAAGATCTTTGCTGCTCATAGAATTCGTTCAGAGGCTGAGAATCAGCTGCTTGTTCACATATTAGATTCAAGGCTAAGGTGGGACTAAGCTTTTCAGTTTGTGGCAGCGTGACTTTGGAACAGTCATCCACTGCATTTAGATTTGGCTCAGTTTTTTTTTAAATTTATTATTATATTTTATTATAGACCCCTTCTTAAAAACAAAACAAAACAAAACAAAACAAAACAAAACAAAACAAAACAAAACAAAACAAAACAAAACAAAACAAAACAAAACAAACAACTGTAATTTTTTTAGAGGGACTTTTTTCATTTGATATAATGTGGTTAATGGTTAATATTTTGATATAGATGCTCTTGACCTTTTTCTTTTTTGCTTGACTTTCTCTGCACTTTCATCCAGTTCTTGTGAGCCAGAAAATCTGATAATTTGGCTTTTTTTTTAATGACGCATACAGCATGAGTTATTCAGATTAGTCAGAACTGGATGAGAGTCGGTAACACTAGCTTGCAGGCTGGGGGAGGAAGCAGATGGATCCTCCCTTCCTCTGTAAGACTATATATAAACAAAGAAAAGTAAAACGGAAGTTAGTTAAAACCAGCAAAACTAAGACTGACATTGTGTAAGTGTCATGGTCCGGAGTCTGTGACTCCGTGTTTATGTTTTAGTTTATTGTTATTCTGGGGTTTTGTACCGTCCTTTTTTCACGTTTCATATTCCTATGTTCTGTCTCCCCCAGTCTGTGTTTAGTTTGTGTGTGTTGTGTCATTACGTGTATGTGTTCCTGTTTTATTCTGAAGGTCCTTGTCTTATGTGAGTGTGTTCACTTTACGTTTCCCCTGCCTCGTCAGTCGTGATTTCACCCAGGTTTGCTTCCCTCCTGTCTCCAATCCCCTGATTACTGCCGTGTGTATTTAAGCCCTGTGTGTTCTCCTGCCTGTTGCTGGTTCGTCTGCATCTCTCTGTCCATCATCCCGTGTAGTTCCCTGTGCCTCCCTGCATCTTTGTTTCTGGTTAGTTTTGCCCAGTTTAGGTTTTCTTAGTTTCATGTTCACCCTCGCCATTTCTGTTTGTATCTACTTTTGTTTATTAAACTCAATTACACTAGAGCTGCCGCTTCCTGGGTCCTAAATCTTTCACACCCTGGCAACCCATGACAGTAAGTGAGAAGTGCAAATTCTATTCTTAAATAACATGTATATTTTAAACCAAAGAGAAATAGCAAAATTAAGGTATGATGTGAAAATATTTTTGGCAGCCTTATACTTGACAGTCATGTTCACCTGGCACAGAGTTGTTATAAAGCTTTATAGATAAAAAGTATAAAAGTATAGCTGTTCCACCTCATGA